CTACTTGTGAAATGGCAGTAACAAAGTTGCATAATAGTAGTAATTCTGATTGGCATTTGTCCTGAAGCTCGTGGGCTGGAGCACCCACAGGTAAGAAAGGACGGCGAAAAATTGATAGATTATTATTTTGAATAAAGGTCAACTATAACCTACTCGTCAATGACAACTAGTGAGTCGCAACCTCAGGCGTCAGGCTACATTTGAGTCCAGCAAATCAGAACAAATTAGCAAACGCTATTTTTAGGTGACTTAGCGAACCCCCGACCTAAACTGGTGTGGATCGAGTGTCGCAATTTACGTGGATAGAGCGTTGGAATTCAGCGCCAAATGCCCCACTCAACCCGGGTTAAAATTTTGGGCAGAGGTAGAACTACCTGATGAAGAGAGAGATGGCCAGTTCGATGTCTCTAACCCTCGCCGAAATCAATTCCTAGTAAGAATACTTACTACGTTTAATTTCAGTCGGAAAAGTATGCGTCATTTAACGAGCCAGGGTAAGTAAACCTGTTGGCGCTCGAGAATTGACGGTGTGTGTAAGCTTTTATAGAGTACAAGAGAAGCTTGCTGTTAAAAGAAGAAGGGTGGACGTCATGTAGTGGAAGTTATTTGGCTTGAAGACTGTAGAACAGATGCCGACATGGGCGGCAGACATCTGCTTGTGTGTGTGCAGAAGATGTAGATCACAGCCTGCGCGTGGAAGACGTCTACGGTGTGTGTTTCGCACCGCAGATGCTCACTACGATTCTGCCTTACTGGTTTAGACCGAAACCGCATTTGCCATTGTCGAATGTGACATAGAAAGTGAAGTCTCGCGTGTTACACAGCCTCAGCCGCTTTCACCCTCCATCCCTCTCTCGTGATCTGTCCTATTTTTCTTTTTGATCCCATGGAAAGACCCATTCAAGACACGCAGTGATGGGGTTGGACACATTGAGCGACAAGGCAACTTGTCAGACCTTACTTCGCTCCTTAGCTGGAGATTGCTCTGTTCGCACATTAAGATCTGCAGTAGAACATTAACGCGGGAATGTGACTTACGACACAAGAACTTCAATACTCGAGGCTACCTCGGGAGTAACGACGACATTGCTTGCAAACGCGCAGAAATTTTTGTATTGGCAAAGTGGCATCAAAATCAGTGTGCAAATTACTTGGCACGTAACAGGAAATTTTTACTTTTTACCATCAGGTCGAGCCATTATAAGCAATGCACCCTTGTTTTGAAGTAGCACCGGAACTTTTACTGTCAGGGGAAGTGTCAGTGTGTCGAAAAAGCTTTAGTATCCCAAGCTACTTTGGTTTTCTCCTAGTACTGAAATCGTTCAATTTTGATTTTCGGCTTCTTTACAGCCCGCTCACAACTACACTGGGATTGAAAAATAAAAGAAGGTAGGAAAATAATTGATCGAGACGGAGAGGAATTATCGTGCTGACTTACTTTGCGTAATTTCTGACCATTTAAATAAGTTCCAGACTTAGATTTGCGGTCCTTGAGGTGATAGGTCTCATCAGATTGACGGAAAATGAGTTCACAGTGGATCTAAAACCAAAAAAGCAATGCGAGGGAACTTTTTGCAATTAAAAAACAATGCGAAAGCATTGTTTGCAATTTAAAAGATGGAAATTGATATCAAGCTTCGCGACGAATACTGAGGATCGCTTAAGTTAGGCCTCCGGCAGGGAAACTGGTTAGATATGATGAAAATATTCGTAGAATGAAGCAGGCTGCATTCTTTAATTTGTACGTATCCTCAATCTCAGCTGGAACTGAGAGCCTGCAAATAAAGGGACAGATTCTGTGGGATTTAAGGACTCTTGCATGGTTAGGAGATATGAGCACGGCATATCAGCCTTCAACTCAGAATTTCACAAAATTCCTACACTACAGCCCCGAGGCGTTCCTCATATTAGTTGAAATCTCATAAAACTCGATCGAAAATTCCAGATCAGTGCGCAACACTCATCACGAGGGGTACAGGTTAAATTTAGATGGGGGCTGTCCAAGACTCCCTTGTCTTCATCGAAGCCGACAGGATAGACCGTGATGTTACGCTTCATAATTATGTAATAGAGGATGAAAACTCGTTCTTGGATGATGTATCATTTAACACAAAAGGCACAAGTCCTTATTAGTCGACGTTCAGTGCAAACGCATGCTAATCCCCTTGTCAACATACCTACGGCGCACGATCAATAATTATTTACCTGCTTTTCTGGTTTTTGCCCTCAGGCGTACACGCTTAACTAATACAACATTGCTTAAGCTATACCAAGCTACACTCGATCCAAGTCCCCTCTTTCAGCGATTAACGTTTATCCTCACAGTACAGTCATGACAAAACGCACATTTCGGTACCTCCTATCCACTAGACCAGGCGTTAAGAGTCAATAGATCCCGATGAGCATTCGCTGGGAAGTCGGCAGCCAGAGAGGCCGAACTTAGGAAGTCATCGAACCTACGTCATGGCTCAGTGTTCCACGGCGGGTTTTTGGAATTGAGCCGCCATCTTTCCGCTCTCCATTCACATGGGAATTTTCTTATATGCATATCGGTTGACCTGTTTTGTTCATTCCATACCGATTAATATGCCTCTGTGTTTACTTGAACTAGAATAATAAGGTCATCTGTTTTGCATATGCATTTTTATCCACGGTGAATGGAAGACATTTTTCTGAAAATTTATGAAGGATCTTTTTAAGAAGAAGCGCTGCTCTCTCTCTTTCTGTGCGGATATAAAAGGTATGTCTGGGGTCTGAATATACTCCTCAGGCCATTCCAGGTTGATAACGATCACAGGCCCACTTAGTACTCCAGTGCAGGGTGACGAACTCTAAAAAAAGCCGAATACCCCATCGGAGAGAAGTCACCCAGCGTGTATTGGGTGCTAGATACTTGCGAGATGAAACTACAATCGGGGACTTTTGTCGTAAATCCCAGATAAGGACGCATAAGCATCAATTAACGCTGTGGAGTCGCATCGGAGTTCATTGATAGCGATCCATGTTGCACATGCTAGATCAGAGGCCGACTTCGGCGCGAGGACAGTGAAAGATCCATACATAAAACATCGTATTCATGCATTAATGGATGTTGCTTATACAGTACGGTCTACATCTGTTGACGTAGAATGTATCCTTTAACGGACTTTTACACTCCGCATAGGTAGCCGTATTACAAGTTTTTTAAGACTTTTCAGAACATTCGAGTTTATTAGCTATGCAGGATAGCTATATACAGTCAGTTAGCGATCTCATGCAATGTAAACCAAAATTTTAAAATGGCTACGTTTATTACCTTGGAGTATAATCCCAAAAAATGTAAGATGCAGCAGGACACCGGCTTTTCGGCCTCCCGGAAAAAAAACTCACCCAAAAAAAATGGCTACGTAAGTAGTATGCACTATTGCACGATCTTTTGATGCTTTTACATATTCCTATATATTTCACAGAAAAAATCGGCAAAAATATTCTTTTTTAATCATCTTATGAACAAACACGCCCGCTTCAACTTTTCTTGAAGGCAGGCTACTTTTGGCTTTAAGAAGGTTCTAATTGTGCAACATTTTAGAATTGTACAATGTCTCTTCAAAACACATTGTATCTGTTCCCTTCTTGATGCCCTCATGAAGAATACGGTATAGTCCTCACGAGCTCAGTGTTACTACACTTGACCCGAAACCGTTACCTAATTTTAAACGTCCAAGTGGGGGTCAGCTCAAAACCTGGCTCGACTCAGTCCGTCAGGACATGGAAGTCGTTCTTGGACCTTAGGTATTCGGTCTCCGGCGCTGGCGAAGAGAATGGCTTGAACTGTCCAGGTCTGCGGCCACGGATAGTCGCGCGTGGAGAAGCACCGTACCGGACATCATTGAGGGCGGCTAGATCAGTCATGATCGTAGTCGCAACACACAAACAAAACACAACATCGCGAAATAGTACAACCACTATGCTATCTTCTTAATAAAAATACAGGAATGTACGATAGTCCTTCCACGGAAGGCAGCTAGCTTGTAGGCTGAAAACCCTCAACGCAAACGCAAAAGTACATCGAGCTGAAAATTATTCGGAAACTGAAATTTGTTTAGAATCTATGCATGCCTTTTTACTGAGTATAAATTTTGAAGAAAGCGTGTTTGCTCATCAAATGAGTCCAAGAACAAATAAGTTCGCTTATTTTTCTATGAAGTATATTTGAATATTTAAGGGCATCCAAAATCTATAGAAATCATGTGTACTACTTAGGTAGCCATCGTTTACCGAGGGAAGTTTTTTTCAGGAGGCCGAAACGGCGCTCGTTCAAAAGTCAGCATCCTGCTGTATCTGAGGTAGTTTGGGATTATGCTCTGAGATAAAACATTAAAATTTCACTTGAGTACTCGTTTCTAATCTAAAACGCATTTTAAAAACGTGTTTAGCATTGCATGAGATCGCTCACTGACTGTATCTGTGAAATAATAATAATAATAGTAAGCCGCGCGGACTCCAAAACCCAAAGCTCGAATGTTTAAGATGTGAAAATACCTCTTCGAGTTCATCGTCTTCCATGAGAGTGAAAAGGGGACAGTAGGATTGGTTCCTTCCCAGGCACCCCCAACCAGAAGTGGCTTGTGTGCTGGTAATGATTCCGACAGTTCCTGTTTTCACGTATGCTGAGGATAGGACCACCAAACGCAGTGAAGGTGGATAAAGCACAGGGCGAGCTTCAAGGCACGTAGAGGCCGGCTCTTCAACAGTCTTGTTGTTGGCAACGTCTCGGCCTGTAGGAGGAAAAAAGAAAATTGGACAGGGCTATTGTCAGCTAACGACTTAACACACAAGGGTTTAGGTGCATGCCTGAACCACATTTTGCACACCGACAGGATTCTTCAATAAGTTAGGTAAATTGGAGCAAGCAATTTAGCCTACAGCAATTTAGCCTGCTAAAATGACTTTGCACTTGCCCTCGAACCTTGTAAAGCCACCTTAAAAAAATGCCCCGACCGCTTTTTACCGGTAACCGCTTGCGCGGAGCTGCTACAGAACAGCATCCGGTAAGAGTGCCTC